AAGAACACCACCACCCGTTGATGGAAGTGTGGTGCTGGATGGAGTTCTACTTATCGGCGGGAAGTGGCTGGCAAATGACTGGCAAATGACTGGACTTCTCTTCTTTAATAGTGAAGAGTCAGTCAGTCGACCGAGTCAAAGCGGGCGACTTTCTTGGGCGAGCCAGAATCCCACGTCCCGCCAGTCCCAGTATTGCTGCGTGGCTCTTACTACGATAGTGAGTCGCTCTCACGAGATGAAGGGCACTTCACCCACCACATGATGAGCGGGCAAGCAGAGGGTTGCTCCCGGAGCAATCGAAACTTGATCTCCCAGTTCCTCGCACCGGGGCTGGGACCGACTTGCGATGTCGAAATGCCCCTAAGTCGGATTGCCGCCGAATGGGAAGCGCTTCAAGTCAGCCTGGCAGAGCCCCCGACTTCTTCCATGGCTATTTTGCCTGGGTGCTGTGCTTGATGCGATTATGCAACCAAGACTTTGGTTTTCTTTTGCACTTGTCGTGATGCAGACAGAGCTGGTCTTGGGTCGCTGATTCGATCCTTCTCCTGTGACTTCAGTTTGAGCTGCGGCTCATTGTCGGTCGTTCTGCTGCCAATCCTTTATGTCCTTCCCCGCCTCTTCACCAAATAGCTTGTCCACGCGCCACCTGTTGTGCGAAGCACATTCCCTCGGTGTCAAAAAGAGGAACCTATCTACAAGAACCATATATACCCAAACGCAAATGATGTGGATCAACAGAGGAAGCAATCCGACCGAAGTGAGCCATTGCAGCATTGCACAAGGTCGATTTCCTGCAATGCTCAGTCGCTAGATCAACCAGTTCCACTTAGCCAGGCAGCATTCGATATATATTGAGGGGAGCGAGCCGGTAAAAGCACCATGGTTCGGGATAACGAAGATTGTTGGCCATCTCAATCACCCGCTGTTATACTTGCTCGGTTGACTGTCCCGAGGAAACTGCCGGCGTATACAACCGTTCAGCGGCGAATAGACATAGCGCGATCCCAGCTTGGAAGGGCCCGAGCCATCTTCGAGCAAAAAAGCACGGTTATGATAGATCAAAGGACAAACTCCCCGATAATTACTCGAAGATTCACCAATGTGCCATATGTGAGACTGAGCTTCGCATGAAGCGAGCATCAGCTCGAGGCGAGAAACAAACGACTGAGATCTACCGAAATCACATGTAGAAATTCCAGGAATCGGACGATAGGCAAATACTCGTCCAGCCTTGGGATGGCTGGGCCTATCTGAAATCCAAGGCAATACGTACCTAGACACCCATGCTAGGATGGAGTGACATCGGAACAACCCAGTCCCTCAGCTTGAGGGATCGACACTTGCCAGTCTGTCACACTGTTGGCTGGCAACGCGCAGGAAGTCTATAGCGCACACAAGTTTAAGTGAATGTTCGCTATACTAAGCTGGTCGTAGAGATCATCAGGGAATTTTGAGTCGGCAGAGGGTCGAGATGCTGTCGGCCTTGATGAGCAAGTGGGCGGTCGGGATGCGGAAGAACATTGGGTTTCCAGCTCAGGCAGGGTTCACTGTCAAGGAGCGAATGAACATGGCGGAGATCGACTCGAGAGATCCCAGAGAGCACTAGGAGAACCTCAAAAGACAGAATAAACATCTAAAGACACTATCTCGGCACCTTCATCGCGGAATAGATGACAAGAGGCTGGTCTGTTTGGGGGGGCAGACTGCGGGCAGACTGGTGTGTCTTGTTGACTTGATAACAGGTCAAGGGTTGTCGTAAGCCGGAAACCACGGGGGGGGGTCTAGAGAAGTTCAACCCGCTCGCCAGTCACGTGCACGGGGCTCGGCAGCCGGATTTAGTGAGGTCCGTGTTTGACAGGTTTGTCTGGATGCCCACTAACTACGAAACTAGTTCACTACCTACTACCCACATACAGTGTTTCTACGAGATATCATGGATCGCCTTCGCTAAAATTCTATGTGGTTGTTGAGACTGCAGACATAGTGTGCTTATTTGCTCAGGTACAAGGTCTCTTGATTGGCAATGATGCGACAAATCGATTACAGCAAGATGCTATTCCTAGTTTACCAATGATCTCCTTCGCAGTCGCTCAACCCACACACTGACACTAAAACCTTCTGCAACAAATATAGATTGGCGAGTGCCATCAATAATCTCGCAAGACGAATCCCCTGTATCATGTCAAACCCGTTCCTTGACTACCTTTCTGTGCTGGGCACGTGGCTCTTTCATTCAAGGCTTTGACGGCACACTATGCAGAAGACAATTCCGGCCGTGATCAAACGGAGATAAGCCCGTCTCTCTATGATTGAGACCTCGGAGAGATATAGCATCCATCGGACATCGGACCAGAGTTAAGCTATTCCGAAGCTGCTTGGTGACTAACAAAATATACTTGACAAGGAGAACCGTGTTTCATGTTGAAGAAGTAGCAGCGCCCTACGATGGAAAGTCGTCGTCATCTTATCCACTCCCCGTTTCTAGTCGTGCAGAAGCGGAGGTGGAGCATCAGAAACAAGAAGAAATGGTAAATTAAGCTTACCTCCAGCTCCAATGATATTCCTTGGCGTACGATAAGATCGAACGGTTCCTGGCTCCCGTTTTGCTGCTGCGGAGACTTTCCTCTTCCCAGCGATTTTTTGCAGATCAGCTTCGAGAAGGCCGGCTAGGCCGTCAGACAATGTGGTGGATAAAGCACTAGCATAAGGTTGTTGAAAGTTGATACACCATGATGGGTCTTCTTCGAGTGCGTGCAGCATCGACACAGACTCATGCGTCGCCGTGATGTGGATCTATTCCAGAATCACACTTTATTTGGTTTATCCTTTCTTAGGGGGTCAGGAGGCTTCATCTGAGGTATAAAATGTGCCATCCTCCTGTTGCTACCAGCATGAACACATACACATTCCATTCTTTTCTTCCATACATTCCTTCGTCCTTCATTCGATTCCATTGCAGCAATGAAGTCTGCTGCTCCTCTCCTTACCGTGGCCACGCTGGCAGCGGCCAAAAGGAACTGCAGTGTCGAGAGCATTGCCCCGTTCTTGCCCGAAAACTCTACTGTTTTCTATGCGGATCATTATGTCAAAGGAGCCAACTTCACTCCTCCCATCAAGTACAACTATGGGTTGACTTCTCTTCCCACGGGGAACAACCCCTATGAGGTCTCTGTCGATAGCTGTGTTGCCCAGGCCAACATCACCCTGCCCAACAACACTCAGCACAGCGTCGGTATCGTGCTTCCTGATGAGTGGAACGGTCGGTTCATGGCCGTTGGTAACGGCGAATTCTCGGGATCGGTTGGATGGTCTTCCATTATGAACACCGCCTGGTATGGCTTCGCCAGTATCTCCACTGATACCGGCCACGAAGGCAACAACGGCAGCTTCGGGTACCACAATGAAGCTGCTCTGACCAATTGGGGCTACCGTGCCCTCCACGACGCTGTTGTCAACGGAAAGCAAGTGACGGAGGGATACTACGGTCACAACATCTCCTACAGCTACTACCGTGGATGCTCCGCTGGTGGCAAGCAGGGCATGAAGGAGGTCCAGATGTTCCCCGATGACTTCGATGGTGTCATTGCGGGAGCGCCAGCCTGGTGGACCGACCACCAACAGCTGTGGAACGTGCTCACTGCCATCTGGAATCTCCCAGAGACGGCCGACTACCACGTCACCGATGCACAGATGACGGCGGTGCAGGCTGAGATGCTGAAGCAGTGTGACCCCCAGGATGGGCTGAAGGACAGCATCCTCCAGAACCCCCTCGGCTGTGTCTTCGATCCTGTCCCGGTGATGTGCAATGCCACCTCCTCCAACGACACCTGTGTGACGCCCGCCCAGCTCACCACCGTCAACAAGCTGTTCAACCCCTGGGTCGAAGCCAACGACACCTTCATCTTCCCTGGATACACGCTGGGTACCGAGGTTGGCGCCCCTACTCTGGACGACGACTTCGTCACCTACATCCAGTACATGCTCCAGATCGGCGGAGACTGGACCTGGGAAGACTGGAACCCCGATCTCGTCGCTCTCTCCGAGAAGCTGAACCCGGGCAATGCCACCGCCGACGACTTCGACATTTCTCCTTTCTACAAGAAGGGCGGCAAGCTCCTCCACTACCACGGCTACTCCGACCCGTCGATCGCGTCCAAGTCCTCCCTGTACCTCTACAACCATTACCAGGAGGCTCTCCGGCCTCAGGGCATCCCCGTCGATGACTTCTACCGTTTCTTCTTCGTCCCCGGCATGGAGCACTGCACCAGCACCCCCAGCGACCAAGACGCCCCCTACTACATGAACGGAGACAGCCAGGCTGGCTCCCTGTCCGGCACCATCTTCGGCGTGCCCGGCTTCAACGACAGCAAGCACGATCTCATCCTCGCCATGGTGGACTGGGTGGAGAACGACAACGCCCCCGACTACCTGATCCCCACCAAGTACAAGAACGACGTTGTTGCCGATGGTGTCGACAAGCAGCGCCCGATCTGCCCGTGGCCCAGCCTGGCCAAGTACAAGGGCCAGGGCGATGTCGACAAGGCCGAGAACTGGGAGTGCGGTACTCTGTACTAAGCCTGGAGGTCTGCCTCGTCATGTACAATAAATCTTCCGTCCATGTATACTAGTGTTTAGACTTTGGTGTGATGTGGAGGTCTACTTTTTGAGATGGTCCTCAGTGGGCAAAGGACATCAAAGTATCAGATCTTTTTTATTACAGATTCTGTTGAAATCTCGTATGAACAGATGTACAGTCCCAGTGTCTTGAAGCATCACCGCACCAGTAGATGTGCCATGCGTTTCATCATGCGTTTCATCATGCATTTCCTCATCCAACATCTATTCATAACCCCTTGTCACCACGCCTTTCCCCATCCAACTCCACCCATCCACACCAGAACCCCGTATCGAAAAAGAAAAACAAAGAACCCCATTATCGAAAAAAGCCACCATCATCGAAAAAACCTCCCAATCTTCGAAAAAAGAAAATCCCCGGCTTATCAACGATCCAACCTCACGACCTCCATCCAATCGACCTGGCTCCTGAGCGTCGCCAACCGCATCTGCTCATCCCAAGTGACCCTCTGGCCCGCGACACCGGGGGTCTCGAACTGCTCGCGCCTTCCCTCAGCAAACACCAGCTTGTACATCTTCTGCAGGTCCAAGCCGCGGTGCAGGATCTCGCGCATGATCCACTCGTCGGGGCGCAGCAGTTTGATTTTGGTGGGGGCGTTCTTCCTTCCGTAGTATTCGTACTGCAGGGCGCCGGGCTCTTCTCCGGTTGGATTTGGGGTGGTGGTGGTGGTGGTGGTGGTGGCTGCGGTGGCTGCGGTGGTGGGTGTAGTGGGTTCCGGGTCGCTGGGGACAGCGGGTCCAGGGATTCCATCACCGATAGCTTCGTTTTTCTCTTCTTTATCAGCAGCAGAAGCACCAGCATCAGACGAAGAGCTAATCCCCATCCATCTCCGCAACGCCCGCTCAACCTCCGCCCCCATCTCATCCCCCCAAACCTTTCCCCCGAGATAATCCGCCAACCCTGCCAACGAGCGCTGCGCAAGACACAACTGCCGCATGACCGTACACCGCTTCACCCCCTTCACCTCCGCCAGAAACGCATCGACCTGGACCATGAGAAACACGCCCAGGAACAGATCTAGATCCGACCACAGATTGCGGTTGCGGACCGTCCACTCCCGCCGGTGGTTGTCGGGGACGTCCATCAGGAACCAGATCTTGCGGAGGACGAGGGCCGTGCCGGCGGGGAGGAAGATGTGGGCTGTCTGGAGGGTGGTGAGGATGCGGTTGATGGTGGTGGTGCGGGAGGTGAGCATTAGGAGGTAGGTTAGTTTGGGGGTCGGGGGTTGGGGTTGGGGTTGGGTGTAGAGGCGTGGGTAGCAGATGAGGGGGAAGGTGTCTGATATGTTTGGTGGGTGGGTGGTGGCGTTGAGGTGGTGGAGGTGGTGGGTTGTGATTGTGGGGAGGTTGTGGTGCAGGGTTTGGTGGAGGGGGCGCGAGGTGGTGAGGAGGGTTAGGATGTCCTCTGGGTGCAGGAGGTCCGTGATCATTACGGTGAGTTCGGGGTGGGTGGAGAGGGCGGCCAGGAGGTCGAAGTTGTTGTGCGGGATGGTGAGGGCGATGGTGGAGGGGCGGCGGGGCGCTTCCTCTGTGGTTTGTTCTTGGGCCCAGAGTATGTTGGTGTTGGTGTTGTTGTTGTTGTTGCTATCTGGGGCTGAGATGTTGGGCTGGAGACGGGGTGGATGAGCGGCTGGGTTGGTGTCATCCTCGGATTTGACCACCGCTGATGCTGGTGCTTGAGACTCAGGCGTAGAGGTGTCCAGGCTGTTCTGGTCCCGGGTACGCCGTGTGACAGAGCGTGTGAGATAGCGAGAATTTGCTGGACGCTGCGGGGTCTGAGGTTGAGGTTGAGGTTCATTGTTGGCAGCCGCAGACTTGTCGTCTTCAGACTTGGGCTCGGGGTCCTGGTTCACAGGATGACTGTGTAGTGCAGTGTCCCTGGTCACCGGTCCATTGACAGATCCAGAAACCCCGCGTGGCACGATCCGGAGAGGCTGAAGTGGTCCGCTGAACTGCGCAGGTGGGATCCTAGGCACGGCGACAGCGTCGTTTCTGACCTGCAATACAACAGGAGCTGAAGGGTTGTTCACCATCGCCTGAGGACGGATGGGTGCGATCTCCTCTGGCTGTACGCCCGCGATCATCTGCTGCCGGATCAGATACTTCTGCAGCGACATACCAGGCTGGGAGTCTGCGGTGCTTTGCTCTTGATGAGAAGAGACTGCAGCTGAGCCGTTGACATCGGTGGTTGAATTGGCGGTTCGACCCGAGGCATCATGAGGGGCGGCGTTGGTCTGCACGTCATGTTGAGTTGATCCATTGTGTCCCGGATTGCGGCTGCCCGCCGATACATGGCGCGAGTCAGCGGGTCTGGGGTCTCTCGTAGGCAAGAAGCGTGGAGGCAAGCGATTCGCGCGGTCTCGAGCAGCACCTGGGACTCTACCGAGCCGGGACGTCTGCTCACAATCCAGGCGGCTGCCACGCGGTGGGAAGCGCTGCATGGTGTTCTGCCGCGCAATTTCGGCTCTGCCAGGGGGTCTGTTGTTCATAACATGGCGCAGAATCATCAAGCGTGTGATCTGACGCTGTTCCTGGTCGTGAGCATACTGCGGAGAGCCCTCTTCGTGGAACGGGGGGATGTTTGCTCGCAGCCCAGGAATGCTGTTCTGCGTGGCAGTACGAGCTGTGCTTAGATGAGGCCCTTGATGAAACAAGACCACTGGAATAGGAGGGTTGATCACTCGATTATTAGAGGTACCGATTGGCTCGAGTCTATGAGCAGCGCTCACAGGAGGACGAGGTTGACTCTGGGGACGAGAGGGTGGCGGCATATCCACATCGTGGCCGCGGAAAGTCTGCATATCCTCATGCTGCTGACTGTGCTCGGTATCTTCATGGCTGTTCACCCCGTGATTATTGCTCGCAGCTCCTTGGACGTCGCGTGAGGTGGCTGTGACGCGTCGGCTCGCCCACAGAAGAAGCAAGCCTTCGGCGGCTGCCAGCTCGTCGGGGGTATACGCCCTTGCCATGATGACAGCGAGGCTGCTTTTCTGATGCTGTCAGCAGGAAGGCCGTAGAACGTCTTATGTCTACTTGTGAACAAAGTCAGTGTTGTGCCAACATATCTTGGAGAAAGACTATAATTCTCACTCAACAAGACACTTACCTCGCTTCAAATCGAGCCAGGAGAGATGGAGGATTGTTATCAAGCGGCCGCAGGATTAAGACAGATGTGCGTTGAGGCTTTTCACACTTGCTTGGATGATAATCGCAGAAATAATGGATAGAAAGTGGGAAGAGGAAGATGAGTTGTTCGTGGATGGTGAAAGATGAAGGAGAAACGAACACCATAGCAACTGATATACCCCACCCAGGCCAGCCTGCTGATGCAAAATTCACTACAGTCAATCATTCACTGCGAGACTCAGAGTGAGACTGAATGTAGGCAAAGCCACACCAATTAGGCATGTTCATTCACTGGTGAGGTTGCTCCTTATAACGCGGAGCTTTCATGATAGTTTCCTTCAGTTTTAGTCTTCTCAATCATTCAGTATCCCTATAGTTCGGATCTCGGATCTTGATTAGATATAGGAATTGTGTGTTACTTCTACAGGCTGTCCTAAACAGGGATACACAGATACGGCGGAGGTGTGTGTTGTAACTGTCGAAGTGTATACGGACTTGCGCCGATGTCCGAGCACTTAAGAACAAGCTGACCAGGGAACTTGATCATCGGACTTTCACAGGGTCGGACAGCATTTGGTGTTTACAAGGAAAAAGAACGATAAAAGTAACTAGCTAGCCTGCAAAACTATGTCTACAGACAGACCCGAGCATGTCCACAAAAAAGAGACATAACCTTGAAGTCAAGCTAACGGTGTTTTTGAGGCCAAAAGGCACTATCCAGATCGACCATTTCAAAATAAATACATTTGATCAGATGCATTCGACTTCCAATGTACATGAAAATTTTCGATCGTTTGTTCGCCGTTCTCCGAATTTGACCACCCCAGCCGTACCGTAATGTCCTGATATCAGGTTGAGAAGATATTAGTAAAATATGTTGAATCGTCCAAAGTACACCCCCACGAGGTTCTCCGCGCTGCAGAATGTTGAGGGAGCAGCGTGAAATCTTGTTGTTTGTTTATCGAATGTTTTGCACAATCCCCAAAAGCGATGACAAGAGCGTTGGGAGAAATGTGGCTTCTTCCTGGTCAGTCGTCGTGACGATGCCAAGAATCTATGCAAAAGTGAAAGGCAACATGCGACTCTTCCGGGCCACAATCACCAAAAGAAAGAATGCCAACACGGAAACCCAATGAATGACCTGTTGAAAGGTATAAACCGCCGTAACTCCTTAAATCATGAAACCATCCAGTGTTAAAACGAGAGGGGTAACAAGTGCGTCATAAAGGAAAGCTGAGAGGGCATAAGAGACATTATCTTCGGTTCAAGAGGTTGAGGAACTCCTCGCGAGTCTTGGCGCTGGAACGCATGCAGCCTAGCATGCAGCTAGTGGTCGTGGTGCTGCTAGTCTTCTGCACGCCACGCATGACCATGCATAGATGGGCGGATTCCATGACGACTCCGACACCGCGGGGCTTAAGGACCTCGGAGATGGCCAAAGCAACCTGTTTGGTCAGACGTTCTTGCACTTGTAGGCGACGGGAGAACATCTCTGCCAGACGAGCCAGCTTAGAGAGACCAAGCACGCGACGGTCGGGGATGTAGCCAATGTGCATCTGTTCGGGATCCTAGTCAGCATTGCGACCTTTGTACACTTTGGTGGTCGATCATCATACCTTGCCCATGAAGGGAACCATGTGGTGCTCGCACAGCGAGAACACCTCGATATCCTTGACGATAACCAGCTCATCGTGATCCTCATGGAAAACAGCACCGTTGACGAGATCCCGAACGTTCTCCTCGTATCCCTTTGTGAAGTAAAGCATAGCCTTGGCGTATCTCTCGGGCGTCTCCCGCAGTCCTTCTCTCTCCGGGTCCTCTCCGACGCATTCCAGAATAGTTCTCACAGCACCAGCCAGCTTCTTGATGCGCTCTTCGTTCTCCTCGGGGGTTGACTCCAGGCGCGCCCGGGTACCGGGGCCTACAGCAGAAGTGGATTAGAAAGACTCCTCCCTGATGGTTCCATCAATACTCACAAGGCCAGCTCAATCCATCAAAGTCAATGGGAGGGAAAAGGGTGTAAGGGCTGGCTGGTCGGCTTTCATTGGCAGGCGGGGTCAAGGCACCGGCCTCATCCCTGGCATCACGAGCAGGATCCCTCAGGGTAGGCCTGCGAGCTATCAGCAAGAGAATGGCCGCAAACAAATGGATAGATGGCCTACCTGGCGACAACAGAACCGGAAGGAGTATCGTCCTGGTACTGACTGGAATCTCCGACAGGGCGGATGTTTTCAGGCAAGTCGGCGAATTCCACAGGAACGCGGGGAGTGAAGGACGAACGAATGGAGGAGTTGAGACTTTCGCGCTCACGAGCATCGCGGGAGCCCAGAGACAGATGAAGGGGAGAACCGCCGTTCAGCATGTGGGAGGGAATGGCGGACTTGGGCTTGGGGCCGTGGGGAGGGGAGGTTCCGGAGGCCATGACTCAAACCAGAGGGAGGGGAGAAGTGGTGGGAGTGGGATGTATGAGGGGGTAATGGAGGTATATGTGTGGAGGAGCTTAGCTGTGGGCAACACGTCCCTGATCGATGGTGATGAAGAGCGCAAGCAAAATTCACCAATTTCGACACACAGCAAGACAAACTGACAATTAATGAACTTCTTGTATTTTTTTTTTTACTCCGATGAAGGATGAGAAAAGGAAAAAATTAAGGCTCGCCGCGCTGAACGGCGTTACCTTTTCGGAGCGAAATGGCCCCTCTCCGATCTCAGGTGTCCGCCCTCACCGCCCGCACTACTGACCAATCACTCAGCTTAATGCACGGGCTGACACGAGGGGAACTCGCCGCTAGTGTGGATTAGCTCATTCCAAACTGATTTCACCATTCACCATTCTCCGATGCCCCGAACTCCGGACTGCGACAAGACTAATTACCTGATATTAAACAGGTGAGATCCGCAGTTTAGAAGAATATCTACCGGAGAAGCCAAGATAATCAATATCGACTGTACTCGAAGCATATCTACTCATCAAAAGTACCTAGATCTCAAGAGGGTGGCCCGCCGACAATTGCTTGGCAGCTGCACGCCCCCTACCCCGCATGATCTGCACCAGCATCTTCGGCGCATTGTTAGCACTCATAACGCTGCTGCGCACGACCTGCCCTGGCTTATCGGTGCTAACGGTCGGAATGCCGTCGAGATGCTTATCGTGAGGACAACACGGCGAGATTACATGCATTGCTATTAATGGCATAGCTTTTAAAAGATTGTTCATAGAAGCCAGCACTATGTCCCCTGGTGGACTGTTAATGCAAACTGGGATGCTTGCTCTCTACACCCTGTTATCGATTTTGATTCTGAATATGCCCAAGATGTTCTTTTCATGCAGTTTTGTCATTGTTACATAAGGCGTCAAAATAAAATGTTAAGGCACACCAGCGACAGGGTCATCTACTACAAGGGCGCTCCCCGATATGAAACTCCACTTGACTGTATCTGTGAGACGCGTGTAGCAATACAAGAAGCAAGACAACCGCTCAAGGTAGGTATCAATAATGTAGGCTTCCGGTTTTTGTTGCAAGCGAAATTAAACTCATGGCTCCAGTTCTTCAGTCGGCACGTCCTCCAGATCCTTGCCCACAATCGCATCGGCCACCTTCCACACTTGCAGAAGATTGTCCTCCGCAGCAGAGCAGAGAACCCAAGGATCATTGAGGTTCCAGCTGAAGTCAGAAATGCGGTTGGTGTGGCCACCGTGCATAAAGAGACTGAAGCGTATCTGGTTAGCGGGCGTATTTCATCCCATGGTCTGGGCAACATTAAACTTACAGCTCTGGTGGTCCATCCTGTGCATCTTCAGGGGTCTGCTCTTCTCCAGCCCGGCTGAGATCCCAAAACATGATCTTACGGTCATAGCTTGCACTGGCAAGGACGGATTCTTCGAAGGGGTGCCAAGAGAGGGAGGTCACAGAGTCATTGTGGCATTCCAGGGCGTGCAACTTGGTTTTCAAGTTACGCAGATCCCACAGTCCGATGGACTTATCAGCCGATCCAGTCGCCAGGACGGTCTCGGCAGCAGGATTGAATGCAATAGCGTTGATGGCATCGCGGTGCTGACCCTCTGCGGAAGCGGCCGCGCGGTTCGTCTCGGCTTCACGAATATCGATGATTTGAAGGGTGATATCATCGGAGACCGTTCCGATCAGGGAAGAGTGCAGAGGGTGATATTGCACGTCATTGACAATAGAAGAGTGGTGCGTGTAGGTCCGCACCGGCTTGAGAGCCTTATTGCCCTTAGTGTATGTCGTCAGATCCCTGACACCGTGATTAGTAGCCGAACACTAATTGGGAGTCAGTGAGAGTGTCGGTCTTACCAAAGACGAACAGTCTTGTCCTCACTACCCGTGACAAGGTGACCGGCAGTGTGGGGGCTCCAGCTAAGTCCGAACCCTTCTCGCGTATGGCCTAGCAGCTCCATCTGAGGGTTAACCGTTCCGGTGGGCAGACTAGGGTGCTTCGAGCGATCCCAGATCATCACCCGTCCGTCCGTACACATTGTTGCAATGATGTTGGGATTCTGCGGTTGGTAACGAGCTTTGTTGACTTCACCCTTGTGGTCAATCTTCTGCACGATATTGAATTTGATCTCCATGGGCGCTTTCTTGGAGCTGCCGCCGTACCCGCCGATCTCGCCGCGATCCTCATCGTAGTCATCTGGGTTGGGCGCAGTAGGATTAGGAAGCTGTACATGGGCAATTTGCAAGTAGTTTTGCGCATCGCTCGACGTGTGAGTGCCGATGAGTAAACGGTGAGTGGAATAAGGCTTATCAGGAACCCTAACTTGTGTTAGAATGGGTAGAAGCTCAACACGGATGCATGCGCATACTCTTGCTTATCAGGTAGCCATTGCGTTGTAAGTGTAGGCCATTCCAGTGCCGTGCTAAGGATCATGTCGTAGAGAAATGGGGCGTTCTTCTTCCATGTCTTGTACTCTGATGTAACACTTAGTCTTCCGATTGCTTGCCGTTCCAGCCAGAGCTAGAGGTGATTCATACCTTCATTGATGATCTTCTCCTCAGTGCGCTCCTCCTCTTGTTCCTCCTGCTCCTCAACGAAAGCTATTGTGGGTGAGAGTTAGAAAAGTTGCTCGCGCAACACATCTCGCAGAGGGTTTCCTACTTTCGTCGTAAGGTTCCATGGCTTTTGTCCACCGAAGATTATATGTATGTATAGATGCGGATTGCAGGAGCTATATTGCGAGTAATGTAAGACAAATGGAAGATGAATACCCGGTTGGAAGGTTGGGACTCGGAGAAGGTGGAGTATTAAGCAGCAGGGCAGAGCAGAGCAGAGCAGAGCAGAGCAAAGAGCGAGCTTCCTGTTCGCACTGGGCGAAACGCGACTTTGCCGTTGAGGGCGCGTTAATGACCGCCCGGGGGAGCTAATCCCAAAATGGAACAAGAAGGGGCTTGGCAGGCTCACATGATGCCAAGGCGGGTCTGCCTGAGGCGCATCCATCCGAGCTGTAGTTCGAGTCATTCATCATCGGCCTCTGCTCTTCATTCACTACAACACATCATTCTTCCCCTCTTGCCAATTAGGCGCCTTCGCCGCCTGCTCGCCTCGTTACGTTCACCTATTCTCCATTTTCTCCTTTCTGTGTCGAAGTTTCTCTGTCAATATAGTTCTTTGAGGATACCCAGTCGTTTCCGTTTCTCTGCGACCGCCCATTACGCTGTGCGCTGGATGATTCGCCTCCGAGCTTGGAGCTTCATTGATTATTGACGACCACCGCCACTTCCACCACTCCTGCGACGATCTACGACTCAACGGCAGCTTTTGTCTCCTTGATAATCTTCGTCTCTAGAACCTACACCTTTTACGCTAGATTCTCTTTACATAATTCACCATGGGTGTTCCCAAGTTCTTCCGTTGGCTGAGCGAGCGGTATCCCGCCATCTCGCTGCTGATCGCAGAGAACCGGATTCCCGAGTTCGACAATCTGTACCTGGACATGAACGGTATCATTCACAACTGTACCCACAAGGACAGCGACTCGCCTACATTCCGCATGACTGAAGATAAGATGTTCATCGCAATTTTCAACTATATCGAGCATTTGTACGGCAAGATCAAGCCGAAGAAGCTATTTTTTATGGCCGTCGATGGCGTGGCTCCCCGCGCCAAGATGAACCAGCAGCGTGCGCGACGTTTCCGCACGGCCCTGGACGCTGAGGTAGCCAAGGACAAGGCGATTGCTCAGGGCATCGAGATGCCCAAGGAAGATCCTTTTGACAGCAATTGCATTACCCCGGGAACCGAGTTCATGGCGAAACTGACTGAACAATTGAAATACTTTATCAGCAAGAAGATTTCGGAGGACAAGGACTGGCAGGGAGTTGACATTGTGCTTTCCGGCCACGAGACTCCTGGTGAGGGTGAGCACAAAATCATGGAATACATCCGGCATGCGAAAGCACAGCCTGATTATGATCCCAATGTTCGCCACTGTCTCTACGGCCTTGACGCCGATCTGATCATGTTGGGTCTGCTGAGTCACGACCCTCATTTCTGCCTTCTCCGTGAGGAGGTCACGTTTGGCCGCCAGGTTTCGAAGAAGCCTAAGGAACTTGAGCACCAAAATTTCTATCTTTTGCATCTGTGTATGGTCAGGGAATATTTGGAACTGGAATTTCAGGAGTTGGAGCAGGAGGGTATCCTAGACTTCCCCTTTGATATGGAGAGGGTGATCGACGACTTTATCTTGATGGCATTCTTCGTCGGAAACGATTTCTTGCCCAATTTACCCAATTTGCATATCAACGAGGGTGCTTTAGCTTTGATGTTCAAGACCTACAAGGAGATCTTACCTAAGATGGGTGGCTACATCAATGAACAAGGCGTCATCCACATGGAGCGGCTAGGCATGCTCTTGGATGCTCTGAGCAGTGTTGAGTATCGCTTTTTTGAAGCCGAGTTCTCCGATGCACGTTGGCTACAAGCGAAGAAGACTGGCGCCACCGAGGCGCATGAGAAGCCGAAGGGACTTACGCTCACTCCTGCCCAGAAGGAGCTCCTCAAAGAAGTGAAGAAGTACGTGTTGAACCGACCTGGGAAAGCGTCGGAGACGAAGCCTCTTGACTTTAATTCTACGCTGCCCGCTCGCGACCGCAAGTTTGTGGAGCAGCTGGCGAGCGATCTTCGCCTGCCTTGGACCACCGTCGCTGATGAGCAGGGCGACCGCTTCATTCGAGTTCAGCTCCCTGCCAACGAGAATGATGATAGTGAAGAGGAGGACGATGAAGAGGCCACTTTGGCTGTACAGAGGATTATTCGGAAGTACGAGAATGCGAAGGTCCAGGAGTTGTCGGCCGAAGAAGCTCAAGAAGCGGCTGAGAAGAAGTACGAAGAGAAGTTCCAAGAATGGAAGAACCAGTACTACGTTGGCAAATTTGGTTGGGGGCTGGATAGCCACGAGGAGATGAAGGAGTTGACTGAGAACTACGTCCAAGGTCTCCAATGGGTTCTGTACTATTATTACAGAGGCATTGCGTCTTGGCCTTGGTTCTTCAGATATCACTATGCCCCGATGATTTCTGGTAAGTATGACATGTGCCCACTTGATTACCGACCACTAATTCGGAGCAGACGTGAAGAAGGGTTTGAAGGCCGACACGAACTTCCGACTTGGCAAGCCATTCAGGCCTTATGAGCAGTTGATGGGAGTCTTGCCTGATCGAAGCAAGAAGACCGTGCCTACTGCGTACCATGAGTTGATGACCTCACCCGACTCGCCGATTATCGATTTTTATCCCCGTGACTTTGAGTTGGACATGAATGGAAAGAAGATGGAGTGGGAGGCAGTTGTGAAGATCCCGTTCATTGACGAAAAGCGCCTGTTGGCTGCTTTGGCCACGAAGGAACATCTACTGACCCCAGAAGAAAAAGCAAGAAACGGCTTTGGTGCCAGTTTGAAGTTCACCTACTCGCCAGACGTGCAGTTCACCTACCCCTCTTCTCTTCCTGGCATTTTCCCTGATATTCCTAACTGCCACTGTATCGAAAACGTTTTTGATTTGCCTACCATGGACGGACTTGAGCCCTACATCGGCCTGATGGAGGGAGCACATCTTGGAGCGTCAGCTTTGGCTGGTTTCCCTAGTCTCAAGACTCTGCCCCACGTGGGTCAGTTGGGATTCCATGGAGTTTGTGTGTTCCAGCAGGAAAGCCGCAATGAGAGCATGGTCATCACTGTGCTTGATCCTGGAAGCAGGTCGAGCGCTGAGCTAGCCAAACAGAAGCTCGGAAAGCGGGTTCACGTTGGTTATCCGTTCTTGCAAGAAGCGCTTGTCATTCGTGTGTCGGATGAGCTTTTTGATTATCTTCTCCCAGATGGCGAGCAGCACGTGGTCGCTATTCCTCATACCCCGGCTCAGATCGAGCAATGGAAGAAGAAGGCCGACAAAATCGAAGGAACTTATAGCAAAAGACTTGGTACTATCATCGGCCCGGTTGAGTCCATGGTACACGTACAGCTACTGAAGGGCTTGATCAAGACTGATCAAGGTGCTACGGTCAAAGAGTTCGGCGAAATCAGTGGACAGGAAACCGACTACGCCTTGCAGTTGATTGTGGACGATGTAATCAACCCCGACGAACGGTTCATCGAGAGAGACGCTCTGCCTATTGAGCGGGAATTCCCTGAGGGTTCTCGGGCATTCTTCCTGGGAGAATTCAACTATGGACGCCCGGTGCATGTTACTGGACACGAAGACGGCAAAGTCAGTGGCATGATCGCGGCGGTAAAAGGTCGGGAGCCCGAGTTTGGACGCGAGCGTGCCAAGAATGCCGAGCGACTCTGCCCTTACATGCCATCTTATGCCATCGCTCGCAGCCTGCGTTTAAACCCCCTCGTCTTGGCCAAGATCACATCTTCGTTTTCCGTGGACATTGAGGGTCAGCGGGTCAATTTGGGTCTGAACCTCAAATTTGAAGCGCGCAAGCAGAAGGTGCTTGGCTATTCGCGCCGTGGCGACTCTGGATGGGAGTTCAGCCAAAAAACCGTCGACTTGCTGGTACAGTACATGACCAACTTTCCCGAGTTCATTGCAGGAATTCAACGGAATCCTCAAAATGATCGATACACGCCCACCGATTTCTACCCCGAAGAGGTCGCTTTGCTGAAGATGCAAGAGATCCGGGACTGGCTCAAATCGATCGAAGCCAAGAATTTCGAGCGCGTTCCCCTAGAGGCTGAACAGCTGGATTCCGATGTTGTCAAGTTGATCGAGCAGGATGCTGATCAGCTTGTCCGGAGCCAACCGCAGATGCAGGCCAAGAAGATCCGCGGTGTCCCTCGAAGCGCCCTTCTGCGGCCATCCGACGTCGAGCAGCGACTCCAAAATCAAACATTCAAGCTCGGCGATCGGGTAGTCTATGCACAAGATTCGGGCAAGGTGCCTATCGCTACTCGAGGAACGGTTGTGGGACTCACCCGGACCTCGCGGGCCGTCTTGCTGGATGTCGTCTTCGACGTCTCGTTCATGAGCGGCACGACGCTGGGAGACCGCTGCTCCCCTTTCCGCGGCCAGACCGTGCTCGCCTCATCTGTGCTCAATGTCTCCTACCGACAGCTCCTCGCCACGACTCGTGCAGGCGACGCACAACAACAACAAACCCAATCGACTCCGTTGACTGCTGGTGCCTACGGTGCCCCTACTGGACCCGCCGGACAGGGCCAGCTGAGAGAAGCTGCCGCCCCCGCGCCGCTGGGCAACTCGTACCGTGGCGCACTGGCTGGGTTCGCTAGTCGTGGCCGAGGCGGCCGGGGCGCATCCAACGGCGTGGGCGCTCAGACGACCCTACCTTTCCGCCCTCAGCCCAACGGCAGCCAGACCGCCGATGGCGCATCTCGCGGTGGTCGGGGCCGGGGTGGAGCCCGTGGCGGTGCCGGTCGTGGAGGAGCGGGCCGCACCCGTGGCGGATATCATGCGGTCGACAACGGTGACCCCGAGGCAGGTGTCATGAAGATTAATCCAAATTTCCGGCCCAAAAATTACAACCAGGTTCCGCCGCCGCAGACGCTGAACCAGCGTGGCCGTGGCCGTGGGGGTGCACGTGGTA